GGAGAAGGTGCAGATGGGGACAGACTGAGGTGAGGTAAAGACTGAGGTAAAGGAGGGTTGACTGAAGAGCTGTGGGAAGGGGCTTGCCTGTAAAACAGGCATCTATTTTACCCAGCAGCAATCTCCTCTGCTTGAGAAATCTCTGTCTAAAGATTCCTGAAGTGGGAATGGGAATGAAGGCTCAAGCAGACAGACCAGTCTTAGTGCACTCTTCTGGTTTAAGGTCTAATGGATTTAATAGCCCTGTCTTTAAAGCACATAATAGTGCTCTGATTTTATGACTCATTTTTCAGAGCCAGAGTGTTCAGTACTGTTAGCAGTACTGCAGTTTGGAAGTCAACCTGAGGTTGGAAACATGGAATCACGGGGATGTGGAGCCCTGCAGTGTACGTGCTTGATGAGATGCAATGCTGTTTCAGTGTGTGACAGCTCACATAATTGAGGACGCTGCCTTGCAAATTTAACTTTGAATTGCAAATACCATCACGATTCTTCTGTTTTGGAGGACGTCTGTGTGGCTTAAAAGCTGCTCTGCCACTTCAGGTTTGAGTGTGGGTGTGAGACGAGTAGATAGTCATACCAAATATGAATATACATTGCAGACCATGGGGGCAAACAGGAATTACTGGCCCCAGAGGTGGGGTATCTCTCAAGAGAAGCTGTGTGTGTGTTCCCTGCCAAGCCCTCTCCTCTGCTTTCATGATACCAAATGGTGTGGATTTGCTTCGGAACAAACAAGAGGTTTTAGATCTTTTTTTTGTCCTTTTTTTTTTTTTTTCCCATGAAAGGGAGAAGAAAAAGTGTGAGGAGGAGAGAAGGGAAGCAGCATTTGGGGGCTTCAGGCCTGGTTGTACCATTGCTGCACAGGCTGGGCAGTACTTCTTGAAAGCATGATTTCTTTTCTGATTTTCCTAGGGGGGTGGGTCTGGCAATCACAGAGACATTTTTCTGATGTTGTTTGTTTAACAGAAGAGAAATATATTGCAAGTGCATTTCAAAGTAGTGAAGATCAAGGACCATCTGTCTCGGGTGTTTTAGGGGAAATGGGGACAGCTCACAGTGGCTGCTTGATTGATGGGTACAGAAAGTTTAGTGTGGACCTGTGACTGCAGCCTGCTTATAGCAGGCCTGCCTCTGTAACAGAAGCTGCTGATCTAGCTGGTGCAAGGCAGTTTTGGCCTGGTGCCTCTTTCTCATGTAAGGCTGTGCAACACTGACGTGGGCACACTTAGCAGAAGAACTGATGCCTTGCTGGGCATGAATGCTGCCATCCAATATAGCCTTTGAGAGCAGACCCTGCCTGAGGTGCTTCTGGTCCTGTTGGGTGTCTAAGCTGTGGCTGGGCTATGCTGAGGAGGTGGCATGTCAATGACTGGGGAATCTGCCCTGCTGGGGTCATTCATGTGTGGTGTGGAGCCAGGAGGAAACTTGAGTTGCTCTAAGTGAGCTGTTGGGAAGTGTTCCTGAGGGCTGGGGACATCTCACCACCTGTCTTCCCCTCTCACTGTGCTGCCCTGTGTCTTGCCCTGGACTACATGCTGCAAGCGTGCCAGTGGTGGGGACCTGCCAACTTGGCACTTGAATGATAGAGCTGACACAACTCATTTAGCAGAGGGATACCATGGGGTAGAGAGCCCCTCGCCGCTACTGACTTGCAGAGCTAGTGTTTCCTCCATTAGGGAAGACCTGACAGCTGGGAGCTGGGATCTGCATGCTCGGCAGAGTGTAGTGTGGTGCAGAACCCTGGCAGAACACAGCAGCAGACCCCTGGCAGCTGTGGCAAGCATGCCTGGGGAGAGGAGCATTAGAGAATCTTCTCAAGTGTTTTTTAACTGTTTCTAAATATTGTTCTGGCAGCTAAAAGAGGCACCCTGCAGTTGGCCAGCCATCACAGAGCAGTAAGCTGTCTCCAACTCCTAGGTACCTCCAGCTCAGAAATCACAGTACTGAAGCAATGGCTGGACAGCTGCAATGGGCAGGGTTGCTCAGGGACAGAACAGGAGGTAACATACAGTTATACAAAAGGTCAAGCACACTTGTATGTAGCTGATTTGAGGTCCTCCCTAGAATTTCTTAGAGGAGAAATTTTGAAGTGATGCAAAAATCGTGTCTGTGGCACTGCTTTCAAATCATCTTTCTGGTTCATGCCAAAGAAGGTGGTCTTGGCAGGGCCCTTGTAGCATCCTTCTGCTTGAACTGAAAGACTGCTACTTCTTAGGTAGCTTTGTGGTCTTGGATGGCTGTTGTACACAGATGTGAATATAAGGCTTGAATCTGTAGCTTTTTATTTCTGTCCACTGATTATCCTGCT